TATGTATGTATGTGTATGTATGTATGTATGTGTATGTATGTATGTATGTGTATGTGTGTGTGTATGTGTGTGTGTATGTATGTATGCATACCATTTATAAATACATACATACACACATACATTTATGAAAGTATTTATGTATAATTATCAGAACTGATATCACATACTAACTGTATGTATTTATTAATGTACATATATGAGGATAAGATCAGCCTGAGCAGACAATTTTAATCATCTGCAGCTCTACTAAAGTTTTAATTTTATATACTAACATAGTAATGCTTTCAAGAGATCTATATGTTAATTAATTACATCATACATTCATCTACACACACATACATATATTTCCATAACTAAGAATGCTTGCTAACTCAATAATGATAACTAGAAACGAGTTTTCTCTGGCTAATGACAACTATTATGTAAATAGAAACGAACATTTGAAATCTATATTAAGCATCATCATATTTCATTATCGAAGCGACAATTTTCTATTACGTAAAACGCGCATTCTCAGCACATTCAAGTTAGAGAAAAGAAAACTTGACTAATTCAATTCAAGCAGTTAAAAATGTGATGACATTATTTCTTTTGAATTATTTCCGAAAATCAGTTTAACTTCAGACAAGAAAAAAAAAACGGGCTTGAATAAAGAAAACGAAAGTCGCGCAATCAAAATATTTAAATAGATTAAATGTTATTTGCATAAAGAGCGTTTGGTTTTCGATTCCCATTTTTTTTTTTTTTTTTATTAATTTAGCTGCGTGACACTTTGGTGGCAAGTTTGTTGCTTAAGTCTTTTGAGACGTACCAGCAGCAATAAAAACAGAAACAAAACAAAAACGATATGTCATTGTTATCGATATTAATAACGGTAAAAGAGAATATGCCGCAGCAGCAGCAGCAGCAACAATGATGTGAACACTTTAATGAGCTTTTATTGGTATAATTGCCAGCAGCAGCAACAACAACAACAACAACAACAACAACAACAACAACAAAGTCAGACGAAATGAAATGTCTAAATAAAATACAGCTCGTTTATATCTATAACTGGTTTGCAGTCATTAGCATTGAAACAATCATAGTTATTTAAACAAAATGCAAATGATTGCGTCACTTACGGCCGCTGCACGGCCAAAAGCAGATAGAGATAAAAATAACGAAAATAGAAAGAAAATAAAAACACATTCAAATTGCGCGCTTACGAAACGAAATGAATAGCATGAAAAAAAAAATGGTAGCTTGAGATAACTCTGTTTTTTCATATTTCTTTTTTGTCATCTATTGTGGCAAATGAAATGCGCAAATATGTATATATTGGCAGATAATGGAATGTGGAAAGCGGATCTTAGTGCTGTTAATGGCTTGAGCAAGTACTTTTGGCTAGTGTTAATTGCAAGTGTGCCAAATTCCAAGCTGCTAATTGGAAGTCGCCCTAACAATGGGCGAGAACTGTCAAAAATCCAAATCTGATTCCAGGCCAACACACTCTAACCAACACTAAAACGCAGTGTGCACTAAATTTCACAGACGACGTTTATTATTTACGTACAAAGCAGACAAAAGGGAAATAAAAACAACAAATGTGCAGCAACAACAATGACTGCAGGTGCCCACTCTCTCTCTCTCCCTCTCTCTTTCTGGTTTACGCTATGCGTTCGTATATGAGTGTATGTGTGTGTGTGTGTGTGTGTGCATGCTTGCAATCTTTCACTTTTTTGTGTGCCGCTCCACTTTTTGTAAATTATTTCTCGTCTCTTTCCATTATTATTATTATTTTTGCCTTGATTATACACACGCGATATACGCATACATTGAAAGAGATATGAATGTATGCAAGTGCATGGCTGGAAAGTTCGTTTTAGACGTTATGCACTTTGGAAGGCCCTTTGCTCCTCCGCTCCTCCCGCTGCTCTTCCGCTAACTTCTAACATACATTTGACATACTTTGTGTTTCAGCATTTCAATTGTTTTCTGTTATTCTTTCGTGTTTCGATGCTTTTTTTTTGGTTTTTGTTTCGTGTGTTGTTTTCTACGCAGCTAAACAACTTTCTTCTCATGCGTTTTGAGGGGCGCGCGTTGTGCAAAAGTATTTATGATAAATTTCACACACTCATACACACATGCATAGACGGCATAAGCATAAGCTGGTATAGCAACAAAACTCGCCACTAAAAACACACATTCACACACTCATGCACACGCACACAGTCCAGTGAGCACAGGCACAGGCGCAGGCACGGGAACGGGCACAGACAAAAGTTTAAGATTCTTTATTATTTACTACATTTTTGGCATTTTTATAATATTTTCGGTTTCTCTGTGTGCACAACTGCGCACCAGCACAAATACAAACTGTAAACGGGAATGTAACAAATTTCATTACCAAACGCACACATACACATATATATTCATAAACACACACACAAGTGCAAGGCAAAGTAAAGCCGACCGTTGCGCACGCTACTTCGTTAACGATCGCCGAGAGACTGATCCGAGCTTTGAGACATGTCTAAGCTCCAAGCCGAGCAACGAGCTTTGAGTGCTGTTAATTAACAGCAAATGTAAACACCGAAATTATATGGGGAGCACAGCTAACTTTTTGATTGACTTCAGAATTAAACAAAACAATGATTCTATGAGGGAGTAGGCAAATAATTTAATTGTTATTCAAATTTGACCCAATCACAACAGTTTCTACTTTTAGTGTTGTAAAACAACAACTATTGTGACTGTGCTATCGGTAAGTCACACAGCTGACAGCTCGCATATCGACACACCTCCATACTCATTCTAACAAACAACTTATTGACGATTTGGTGTAAATTACATTTATTTCGTTTGGTTTGGCGTCCATTATTATAGCATGGGTAATTCATTGGGGATCATAAGCGAAGACGATGACCACCTATTTGACATACGCGACGAGGGATTTGGATACAATATTATCAATTTAACAGTGGATGCCATGGATTTGCACTTTCGTCAACCAAACAATCACCCAAATAATCTGCCAGTGTGTGAAAAGCCAAACGTAGATAAATTTCAAGTGAGCATGAAATTGATATAGTTTCTTTGTTTGCCCACAATCAATTGCAATTCGTTACAGTACACAGATATGTACAACGAGGTGAAAGCGCGTTGCAGCATGATCACCAAGCCAACGGAAAAGCGCTGGAACTTAATGCAAGCCCTACAAATGAGAGAAAATGGTCTAGCATATCCTGGCAGCGACTCTTTCTCGCCAAATCAACAACGTTATTTCTCTAACATGTATATACCGAACCATAGATCAATGCGTTTAATGTCGCTCGATGCCAAAGTGTTTGTGTCCAAGTTCAATAAGACGGGCACCAAGCTCTTAACAGCGTGTCAAGGTCAGTTCCAGTTCCAGAGTTCAGTTCCAGGTTGGATATTCAATTGACTTAATGCGCAGTTTAACTTTGCAGATGGCTTTGTGCGCATTAACGATGGCTCCAAAGGAACTTATCATCTGCTGAATAGAATAAATGCCCGCGATGTACAGTGGAGCATTACAGATGCGGACTTTAGTCCGAATGGCCGGCATTTCGCCTACTCCACTTGGTCACGTTCTTGTTAGTTTTGTGCTATAAATAGCTATTTGAGATCCATTTACATTCATGATCTATCTCTTTTTCTCCCTTTGTAGTTTTTATAATGCCTGTTGATGGCTCCGGGGATGATTGCCAATGGATCGATGTGAACGATACTTCGAGCAGTCGCGTTGCTATTTTCTCGATTCGTTATTCGCCAACGGGCGATAAGATTATTGGTGGCAGTAACAATTCCACTGTGATTATTGGAGATGTGGAGACACGCGCTACACAGATCCTACGCACCCATCGCATGCCCCTACCGGACGTGAATGCCGTTGCTTATGTTAGTGACAGTGATCCGAATGTGATAATAGCCGGTTGTGATGATGGCCTGTTAAAGGTTTACGATTTACGCACCTCGTTTCGCAGCCGCAACCTGTCCAAAAGTGTTGTGTCATTTATTGGACACTTTGATGGCATTACCTATATTGATTCACGCAATGATGGCTACCATGTGCTCTCCAATTCCAAGGACCAAAGTATCAAAATCTGGGATATGCGCAAGCCAAGCAATCTGCGAAACCGCAGCAGTGCCCGGCAACATCAGCTGTCAATGACTTCATGGGACTATCGTTGGGATCGTGTTCCACGCGAATGTAAGCAGACGTTACGAATGATAACATATATCTATATTAATGTGTAAAAAGTTAAAGCTAACTTTGCTTGCTTTGCCTTCCCTTTTTGCTCATTAGGAATGGATTTGTAACTTATTTCCTTTTCTCTTCTATTACAGTTTACAATCCAAGAAAAGCTTTAGATGGTGATAGCAGCATTATGACTTATCGTGGACATCGTGTTAGTAAAACGCTGCTTCGCGCAAAATTTTCACCCATGGAGCAAACAGGACAACGTTTCATATACACGGGCTGTGCCACAGGCCGCATAATAAGTAAAAATATCTTCACTTTCTATATATATACAGCTACAAGTGCTCTTTTATTTCCTCACAGTTTATGATGTGCTGACGGGGAAGATACGTGAGGCTATTGAGGGACATAAGAACGTTATACGAGATCTGGACTGGCATCCGGTGCGCTCTGAAATTGTATCCAGCTCGGTAAGACAATGCCCTTGAAACCAAGTCGGATTTGATCTAATTATTTAATTATTTTTTCAGTGGGATACGCATGTTAATCTGAACAATTATAATAGAAATATAGCGACCCAGAGCTTGAAACGTCGTCGCAGTCAAACCCGTGATAATCGCCCGTTGCGTCGTTCGCGTCGATTAGCTAATCGGAATAATGCACCTGAGTAGAAGGCCTTTGATATTTGCTTATTGTATAGCTTTAATAATTAACAATTAGTAATTAGATATAGAACTTGTTCAAATGTTAAACCATACCTCTGCGAGTGACACGTTCATCTATATACATATGCATATACATATTTATCTATAAATCATAGAATATAAAAAACAGCTGCACAAAAACTCTCCTCTGAAGACTGAAGTAAAATTTCAGAATAGAGGAGAGTTCTCAATATACAGCATACCAACATGTATATGTCAAATAGGTTAATATATATATTTTATTATTTAATATATATATTTATATATATATATATATATTAATCAAATCATCAATCAAAAGAAACGAACACTCATTATTTTTTATGTAAATGCGCATCCACCTTGGCTGGTTTTTATTATATATAATAAAAATATATATAATTGTTACATATTAAAAACTGGAAACTATGTACAAAAAGAAAGCTAATATATATTATCTACCAGTTAAGAATTCAACAGTTGTTTACAGTTAAGATATACATTTATTAATATTTACGTTTTGTATTATTAACTACAGTCCTGAGAAGGCATTACATTTGTTTAACTTTTTAAGGTGAGAAGTCGTGATTCTCTGATATTTCAGCTTTTTTACCATAATGCGTGTCCGCTCTACGTCTGTTTTTTGTGAATATTTTGAACGCCTGCCCTCCCACAGGCTCATGATGCGTACCGCATCCGACGGTATCTCCATGACACTGACTTGAATATTCTCATCGAAGGAGTAGCCGGCTATTTCGCTCAGCGAGGAGTTCTTGAACGCTCCCATATCTAAGATGTGAAACTTTTCTGCGCAAAATGAAGAGATTGTGAATACATTGAATGAGTTTTTCCAACTTAGCAAATGCTTCATTGATAGATAGCGTTTGCCTCTGTTATCTGCTTCGTCTTCACTTACTTCAGTTTCAGGCTCTTTCTCATTGGCGAGCTCTGATTGCTCTGTGGTGGTGTGGTTGTTTGCAAGGTCATCACCATTGGGTGCGTTGCTTGTCATCGATTTAGTTTCGTCTTGTAATTGCGGTTCCTCTCTGTCCTCTTTTTTACTTTTCTTGCTTTTCTTTTTAGCAGGCTTCTCTGTTTTTTCTTGAGGTGTTTCCCCTTTCGATTCGACTTCATTCTCTTCATTGTCTTCTATTTTACTGTCTTCGCTTTTATCTGGAACCGGCTCTGTTAATTTTGGCTCCTCTGTTAGTTCTACGTTCTTTTTATTTTTCTTTTTGGCAGACTTTTCGCTAACCTCTGTTTCCACACTGGTTTCCTCATTTCTCTTAGATTTTTTCTTCTTCTTTTTAGGCTCTTCTTCCGCTGAAGCTACTTCAGAGCACGCCACCATCTCTTCCTTATCCTTCTTTTTCTTTTTGCGCTTTGGCTGATTAGATGCCTCTGTTTCTGGCTCTTCTTTCTCCTCATTCGCATTCTCTTCGGCTGCACGCTTTGACTTCTTTTTCTTCTTGGACGGTTCTTCTGGCACTGCTTCCGCTGGCACTTCAGTTTCCACTATCTCTTGTTCTTTTTCTTTGTTCTTATCCTTCTTTTTCTTTTTCTTTTTAATAGGCGCTTCTTCGACATTTGCATCTCCATTTGCTATTTCATTCGCTGTTCCGTTCATCGAGGTATTTTCAACATTTTTATTTTGCGCCGGCTTTTGCTTCATTGCTTCCATTTTCTGCTTAAAGTAATCATTGACAGACACCCCAGTGCTTATAGTACAAAGGCCTCCAAATTTAGGATTCACAGTATTCTCCTCCGGCACTTTTTCTTGTTTCTTAAGCTTAATTTCATCTGTAGCCTTCTTGCCAATTTCAGTTTCCTCTACCTCCTGCTCTTTTTCTCTGTTCTTATCCTTCTTCTTTTTCTTTTTAATAGGCGCTTCTTCAACATGCTCACCTTCATTTGCTATTTCATTCGCTTCTCCGTTCATCGAGGAATTTCCAATATTTTTATTTTGCTCCAGCTTTTGCTTCATTGCTTCCATTTTCTGCCTAAAGTAATCATTGACAGACAGTCCAGTGCTTACAGTGTAAACGCCTCCAAAGTTAGGATTGACAGGTTTCTCCTGTACTACTTCCTGTTTTTTAATCTGCACCGGAATCTCAGTTTCTTCTGTAACCTTCTTGCCAAATATGTTTGCCAGATCTTTTTCGCTATATTGTGCTAGATCCTTGCCACGTGTGAACTTCTTGTAATGCACGCGAGCTTTACTCTGCTTGGATTTCTCCTCCAGGGATATTCCTGTTAACTTTTCCTTGAGCTTATTTGGCTTTGCCTCTTCAGCAGCGGCCACTTCCGCTTTGAAGCCAAAGCCCATGGGTCGGGCTTCTTCTTCGGATTCAGATGCATTGCCATTGTCCTCTCCGCCATGTAGGGTCTTTAACAGCCCATTGAAATTTTCGTCATGTGTGGTCCATTGATCATCGCGCGCTTCGAAACCCAATCCCTTGCTATCCTTCTTGAAGCGCAAACGCACAAAGTCTTGGGCACCATCCTCATTCGCACCCAGGCCACGGCCTTTCGTCCAGCCCATTTTCTCCAGCATTTTCGTGCCAAAGCGCGTATCATCTGCAGTTAAAATAAAATTCGTAAATTTAAATTTTTTATTCGCATTTGCTTTGGTGTTCACCTTCGTAGAGCGCCTTGCCGCGCGGACACAAATTGTACCGCTTGCGACGACGCGGTTCTGCGAGCATTGCCATTATTAAAATATTTTATATTTGTGCGCAGGTCACTTAATTTTTATTTTCATTAATAATGAACAATAAATAATATTTGTATAAATAAAATAACTTTTAGCTTCCGATACAAGCGCAGTCCATGCCAAACACGTGTTGACAAGCAGCAAAAGAAACTCGAAAAGAAATCATGAAATCAGCTGTTAGCTTGTGCATGTACGACAATGGCGAGAGTGTCGTGTGTGGGCCATTAACTGAACATATAAATAATTCGACGTATATTAAGGCATTTATTGTTAGATTATTACTATTATACATAATCTAATGAACATTTTTCATATTTTATCTTCAATATTTTGTAAATTTTAAGGTTTCTAACATTGCCGATTGTACTGCACCTTGCATGATGTGCAATAACGTGTGTGAGCCACACATCAAACCAAGTTCTATTGTGATTGATGGCAATCAAAGGCCGCTGCAGCGGCTAATTATTTTGTTTATTTACAATTTAAGCATATTTAATATATATTCAAAATGGATATAAGTGCAGATGTGAACGCGATTATATCGCAGGCTTCAGACTGGAATTTCGCTGGTGACTGCGCTCTGTTGGAACTAATGAAACGCATCTCCCAAGTGGGCGTGAATATTGATAAAAGAAGAGAGCAAGTTTGTATTAATCACAAACGTTTTCAGAATCTGCATGAGCGGGGAGAGCGAACGACCAAAAATTTAATCCAATTTGAAACGAACGTGAGACGTGCTGACATTGCCCTGGACAATGCAACAAACAGTCTGCGTTCGCTGCAATTCGGACAGCAATTCGTGGAGTATCGCGTGGAGGAGGTGGAAGATGATGATTTTGCGTTGCCTGAGGAGGAGGTGAAGAAGGTATTGATGTATATTCTCGCTGTTATCGCGTGTATGTATTTTGGGCTTAATCGCCATTCCAATCACAGCCTGAGCCTCCGTTGAAGACCTCCAAGGAACTTTCTGAAGAGTTTTTGCAAAATAATTTGCAAATGTTTAGAAAGAACTTTGAAGCAGTCACAATAGAAGTGTCCGACTCGGAGGATGAGGACGGCGCTGTAAATGCCACGTAAGTAATGCAGTTTCATATGAAATTTCCATTAACATTCTTCTACTCACTTGCAGCACTGTGTTCCGCGACAAGAACCCCTACGATGCTATCCCGTTGCCTTTTATTATTGGCTCCAAGCAGTGGCAGGAGCACAAGTACGCGGGGCTCTATGATAGCGCTGAAAATAGCGAGGACGAGCAGCCAGAGCAGTTCTCCTCCAGCTCCTCGGATGAGCAGGAACTTGCTGAGCCACCAAAGGCTGCGCCAAAGCAACAATGGGATCCATCACTGCAATCGGATTCCTCTTCACTCACCTCGCTGCCTAAGGAAACGCCAGTGGTCAAGCAGCCAGCGCCTGCAGCTGCGCCTGTAGTTGAGGGAGTTGCTCGCCCTATAGCTCAGCCTCGACCTATTATTAGCATGCACAGGAATCCACATGAGAGCGATTTATTTGCAGCGCTGCGTGCCTCGCCTCCTAGCGATGATCCGCCCTCCACTTCATCCTCGCTTAACTCCTCTTCAGCCACTTCTCATGGAATTGCTGCAGCTGCGAATCAATCAAGAGCAAATGTTTCGCTCAGCTCGAGCAGCAGCAACGTCAGCAGAGTCATACAAGCTGGGGGCAAACAAAGTCCGCCCAAATTATTTGATGATGCAATTCCAACACTTCCAGCAGCCACACCAGCTGCTACGCCCCTTGTAGCTGACAGCGAAGTTAAACCCGTCGCAGCTGGCAATAAAATCAAGCGAAAACCTGTTAATCTGTTCAATGACGATGAGTTCAATTCGTTTATGTCAGAAATTGTGGACAAGGTGCAAGCTAAGTCAGGCAGCAACTCGACCCAAACTGCGACTGTGGCCAAGCCAAAGGAAATGCCTGCCCCGCAGGAAGTCAAATCGAAGCCAATTGAGACAGCCTCCCGTCGTCCAAATCTCTTTGAGGACAGCCCACCGTTAAGTCCCAATTTACAGCCCGCAACGGTTGTACAGCCCGTCAAGAAGGTGCCCACATCGCTCTTCGACGACAATTTGGATGACGATGTCGATGACTTCTTGAGCTCTCTAGTGCCCAAGGCAAAGCCACAGCCGCAAACGTTGAAGAAGTCTTTATTCGACGACGACGATGATTTGGATATAGATGATATATTTGTGAAGAAGAAACCTACAGAACCGCCAGCAAAACTAACTGGAAAAACGGCGCTGTTCGATGATGTGAAAGAGGATGACGAGAAAGACATCTTTGCCAAGCCATCAAGAGGCGCTGAGATGCAGCAGCAGCAGCCTGCGCCTGCGCCTGCGCCAACAGCTGCAGCGCGGACAACCAATAGGAAGCCTACAGAGGCAGCTTCATTGGCTAGTAAAATGGTTTTGTTCGATGATGACCTAATGGATGATCGAGCTGCTGAGGCTCCAAAAGCAGATGAGAGGCAACAAAAAGGACCTGAGAGTGGCCAGCCAGCACCTGTTAAGCCGCCTGCCAGAAAACAGCCTACGAGCAAGGTCTCGCTGTTCGATGACGATGACGAGGATGACCAGCTTGTGGAAAACATTTTTGGCAAGGACTCTAAAGGACGTGAGAACAAGCCAAAATTGGTTGAGCCTGCACTTCCAGTTCCTGAGGAGTTGCCTAAGCGCGGTCTCTTTGATGATCTGGACGATGATGATCTCTTTGCCACGCCCAAGTCAAAAAAGCCCGCATATATTGGAGCAGAAAGGGAAACTAAGCGACATGTTGAGCAAGTTCCGACAGCAGATGCAGCTGTCAAGCCTGCGGAGGAGCTGCCTAAGCAGTTGGAGCTGGAGCCACAACGAATTGCAGAGCAAGCGGAAGAGAAGCAAATAGACAAAGATTCGACTGATAAGGCGCAGCTGCCAGTGCTCAAATCAGATCTATTTAACGATGATTTCAACGACAAGGAAACAATAGGAGATTCTAAAGAGATTAGAACGGTGGAAGAGCCACAGAACAAAGCTGCAGATGAGCTGCCTGCTGAGGAGGCAAAGTCAGAGTCGCAGAACTTAGAGAAACAAGTGGTGCCACCTGCCAAGCCTGATGAAGTGAAGGATGAAGAGCTTGAAGTGAAGCCTGCTAAGCTCGATTTACCCTTCAAAGTTGAGCCAGAGCTGGAGCAGTTATTGGGCAATGAGAGGGAGTCTGGATTGGCTGATTGGAAGCCTGGGGAGAACTTTGTGTCTGATGCAACAGGGGAGCAGCCAGAGGCAGCTGTTGAGGATCAGCAGGATCCCATCATCAGTCTCGTTGCGGAGCTAGGCCAAGGCAAACCCAAGCAGGAGGCGCGTGCAGCCGAAGACGTGGCTGCTGCTAAGCAAATAATGCAAAACTACTCCAGCCTCTTCTCGGATGAGCCGCCCGATGATAGCGAGTTCTTCCAGTCTCTGGGCACCAGCAGCCTGCCCAGCTTGGGCGCCTCCAAGATGTTCGACAGCGAGCACGAGCACGACTTCTACGAGCCCGCTTTGCCCGATCTGCCAGCAGCTGCTGAGACCAGCCGGGATTATGGCGGCATGCGTTTGTTTAGCGATGTGCCACCAGACGATGATGACGAGCAGGAAGCGGTGCAGGCAGCATCTGGAAAAGCAGCAGCTCCCGTGCAGGAAGAATCGTCGACACCAAAGCGGATTCACACTATCTTCTATGATGACTTTAGTGAAACTGCTCGCGCTGGTGCTGCCGCCTTCCTGGACGAGAGGCCGCCGGCAAATGTGGCTAAGCCCAGCTCTCCCGTCAAGAAGCTGCAAATGCCCAACATAAATATCAATGTGCATGCGCTGCTGCCTAGCGCCAAGCTGCCCAAAAAGCAGGAAGAGCCAGCTCCAACTCCAGTCATTAGCCAAGCTCCAAGTCCAGCCTTGAAAGAAATGCCCAAAGCAACCTCAAGCGAGACGGATAACATCTTGCAATGCGTTGGCAAGACGCGCGTGCGTGGTCCAGCTCATCGTCGACCCTCGACCCGACGTGCTCGACAAGCCAACTATGCTCAGAGCTTGCTAGAGTCCGAATCGGCCGACAGTGTTGCTTCTGCTGCAGTGCCATCAACTTCTGCAACAGCATCGAGTGCAAGTATTTCCCGTAAGTCCATTGGACAGCTGCCTAGCTTCGACAGCGATGACAACGAGGAGCGGGCGGCGGATGATTTCCTATTTAAGTCCCTTGCAACCGTCGCAGCAGCTCAGACGGCTACGAAGATCGCTCCCAAGGAACCACAGCGCGCGGCGAGTGCCAAGCCAGCTCTGTTTCTGGACAGTGATCCAGAGGATGACGATGATGCGCTCTTCGGAAAGGCACTCCAAAGAAAAGTAGCAGCTGTTGCTCCAACTACTCCGGCAGCAGTTCCTGCTGTCCAGAAAGCTGCCTCAAATGCCTCGCCAGCTGCAGCTCCTTCTGTTACTCGAAGCACAGCTGCTCCAGTTGTTGCTGCCGAAACTGTTTCAGCAGGAGTTACAGCAGTTACTTCTCCAAGGGTTTCTACAATGCCTTCTATCACTCCAGCAACAGCTGCTCCTGCACTCACTACCCCAAAGCCTACACCAATTGCCTTGGTATCCACGTTGCCGCCAGAGGATGATGTGAAGAAGCCTCCACCCAAATCGGCTTTCTTTTTGGACAGCGATGAGGATGAGGATGATAGCAATAGTTTTCTCTTTAGCCCAGCATCCACTGTTCCCCCACAAAGAGCCGCTGCTGGGCCACCGAAGTCCTACGTATCCTTCCTCGACAACAACGATGACGATGAGGATGCGCTTTTTGCCGCAGCCCTAAGTGAAAAAGCAGCCAAGTCAGCACCAGCGCCAGTTCCTGCTCCTGCAGCTGCTGCTGCTGCTTCTGAGAAGCCCAAGGCCACGTCTAAAACGTTCCTGGATAGCGACGATGAGGAGGAGGATGATGCACTCTTTAAGCCAACCAAGTCAGTGGCCCAGCCAAAGTTAAAGGATGAGCGAAAAGATGTTGCATTGGCTAAGGAGCAGAGCAAACCGAAGGCGCTGAAAACGCAACTCTTTGATGACAGTGATGATGATGATGATGATTTGTTCAGCAGCAAAGCTGCTAACCCTGCCAAATCCCAGCCAGCGGCAGCAATAAGCCAAGCTACTTTGCTTGCCGGCAGCGAGAAGGAACCGAAGCAGGAGCTGCCCAAGGCCAAGGCAAAGCCAATCATCAAACAAAGTAAAAGTCTCTTCAGCGATGACGAGGATGACGATGATCTGTTTGGCAGTGGTGCAGCTGCTCCAGCAGCCGGCAGTGCTAAGCGAGCTGCCAAGCCTGGAGCATCCAATGCAATCAAAAAGCTAACAGCCACGCCCATACAGGGCAGCTCCACAGATATAGCGGATAATCCGCTGGCCGATCTATTAGGACCTTAGGGAGCTTTAAAGAAAAAAGTATATGTATATATTTAATTCAATTATATATATTTACACTTAGTGATTTGCTTATGTTAATTACACAACTCTATAAGAAAACAGTTTCAAACATTTGTTAATCTCTAGCACAGTAATTAATAATACAGTGAACACTCGATAGTTAGACTAGTTACTAATATTGTTAGCTCTATATAGATTCCACATTCATATACTATATATATACCTAATATATGTAAGTATATATGGTCTGGATCGATATTAACAGCCTACTTGTTATAGTTAGCTTTTACTCTGTGTGTGTCTTATGCCATTTAGAGAGTGATACGAGTTAATGCGACTTGGACCTACAATTACTTGAGTAATGACAGGTATTACGGCTTAATTACATATTAATTACACCATTCTTGGTTTAATTAGTTGAGTCATTACAGTTTTCAGGCATTTTTAATGTAAAAAGTACAAATTTTCGAACATAATGTCAATTACTTAAGTAATTGTCTTAAAAGTCCTTTGAGTATTGCAGTAATAGCACCAAATATGTAATAGGTCTAGTTCTGATTGTTCTTTTGAGCTTGTGAAGAACAATAATTCCTTGTAATTGCTGGTAATTAAAAGTTAATCACAAGTAGCTACTGGTAATCATTGATAATTACTGTACATAATATCTACTTTGAAAGACCAAGTCGTTGTCGCTGTGAAATTGATATTGTTCGTATGGGACATAGGGCGCTTATAACTAATTTGCATACAGCTAGAACCTCAATTGATGACGAAGCGAATACAAACACTGTAATTGAGTTAGTTTTGTGGCTCTTTGGTCGTTATTCCGAGGAATTTCTTGTCTGTGGTAGTCGAGCAGGCTACAGCTAATGAGTATGATGTACAATAATATATAGATATATGTATGTGTGTGTGTGTGTGTGTGTGTGTGTATGACTGGAGCATAGCTTAAATATCTACTATAGAGCCACATCGCGATACTTGCGATAGTCATCGGACTCATTGCCCAGGGACAATTTGCTGTTGGCTGTGATGTAGGGATTGGCGTAGTTGGCATAGCCGAAGCCGCCGTAGTACTGCAGGTGCTGCTGATGCAGCTGCTGCTGCTGCAGATGCTGGGAGCCGCGTCGCTGCACACCGAGCATGGTGCAGCTGCCCGTCACGCTGCAGGCCGAGGGACGGCGGTAGAGATTGGATGCTGCCGCGGCGGCCGCCTGCTGCTGTTGCTGCTGCAGCAGCATGGCCAAGTAGTAGTGCTGCTGCTGCGTGTAGTTCTGCAGCAGATTGTTGCCATAGGCAGCCAGGTCGTTCTGCACCTTGCTGATGCCGTCGAGGTTCTCCAGGGAGATGCAGTTGCGCGCCAGCTTCTTCTGCTGGCCGTGCCGCTGCTGCTGCTGGGCCGGCGGCGGCGTCAGCTGCTTGGGCTCGATGGAGCAGTAGATGGGATCATTGCTGGCGGAGCCAATCAGCGAGGGCGGCGACGGGCGGTGCGAGTCCTGCAAATTGTGCTTCAGGTCGTCTATGGTTATGTTGAAGTACTTGGCATTCTTGTCCTCCGTGTCCAGCACATGCCGGGGATTGTACATGCCGGGCAGCGTGCAGCGCAGATCCATCAGCGACTGGGCGCGATGGCCCTGATTCGAGCTGCTCCGCTGGCTGGGCACGTACTGCTGGGGCGCAAACATGCTGGCATTGAACTCGTTCTGCGAGCCAAACATCTGGTTGGCGCCGCTGCCCAGGGGCAGCTTCGTCTCGTCGCAGAGCTGGTAGCCCGCGTTCTCGAAGCCGCTCAGCCGCTGGCTGGAGCGCCTCGAGTCCGCCTTGGTCATGGGCACGCTGGGCGCTGGGGTTTGCAGGGAGAGCCGGGTGGCCAGGTCTTGCAGCTGATTGAGCACCTGCCTCTCGCGACGCCACTTGATGCCGGTGGGAATGACGCAGATCAGAGCCAGGCAGTTGATGATGAGCCTTACCAAATAGGAGGTTAGCTCCGTCAGGCCGTGCACCGACTGCAGACCCTGCGAATGGAGGTTAGGAAACTCTCTCTCTCTCTCCCACTCTTTCTCTCGGTTACTCACCCAATGCTGTGTGGTCATTAGCATCACTAGCACCAGCTCCGGTATCGACATCAGCCCAATGACGGCCGACCAGGCGAACAGGGGCCAGCAGAGCCCACTCACTAGGCCATGGATCAGAATGGTCGTCGCCACAAACATCACAAAGTACAGTGTGCACAGCGTATAGGCGGCGAAGGGCAGCTCGCCGTGCGCCTCCAGCAGCCACGAGACCTCGCACGAGAAGGCGCCCAGGTAGACAATCTGTGCGGCAGGTGAAAATCGATGCGAGAAAAAAGCGAAAACGTAAATCGAATAATTTTAAGAAAAAACCAAACGGAAATCTCTATATAAAGTGGAGCTGCAGATGAAGCAGCGGCTGAAAACAAAAAAACAAAAAAAAACCGGAGACACATTTGCGCCGCATTCATCCATCAATCAATTAATGAGTCTTGTCCAGCTGGCCGTCCGTCCGTCGGTCCGCTTGTGTCGATTCGTCTGTCTGTTTGTCGCTCTGTCACGAAGAGTCGCAAAAAAGTTGAAACGATTTCATTTCATTTTCACTTAATGGCGCAAATAATAACGAAAAAAAAACATATTGTGGCCAATTGATAACGGTACCCACAACAGTTTATAGAAAGAAAAAACTAACAAGAAGCTTATAGACGGCTCTTGAAGACTGGCCAATACTTGTTCGGGTTTAAAGAACTGAAAGTCTGGAAGATTGGGTAGGTAGTATTCCAAAAAAGGGAACATAATAGACTCGTAAATACTGCAGCCAGCTAGAACTGACTCAGTTATGGCCTTTTCTTCTTCTTTTAAGAGGACAGAAATTGTCGACTGTAATATATAGAACTTTTAATTCGCATTTTTCATATAATCTAATTTTTACAGGGTATACATTGCAGGCATATCACATTTATCTAACTCTGTCTGTCAGCTAAATTGTCTATCAGCTTAGCTCCCCATCTGTATCCCTCTCTCTCTATATATCTCCCTCTCTCTCGCTCTCTCTCTATCTTTATCTGCTCTACTTCCGATTTCACAAAAGTTCTTTCATTAGAGTTTCGTCCAAGCTAATATGCCCACTCTATGAGTTTTCGTTGCCTGCTGAGCGAGCATATTTGTGGTATATAAGTGTAAATCACGAATTGGTTTACTTACCAGCAACAGGCCCGCCGCCACACAGCAGATAATGAATAGATTCGCCTTTATGAAGCGCTCCATGATGCGTTCGTTCCAAAAGTTTTGTATGCTATTGCCTTTCCCGTTCCCGTTGCCTTTGCCTTTGATGCTGCTGCTGTTGCTGTTCTTCTTATTGCTGTTGTTGTGGTCGTTGTTGTTGTTGCTGTTGTTGTTGTTGGTGCCAGCGGGCCTTTTCGGCTTCTTGAACGGGGACGGTGAATGCGTTTCACTGGCCTTCTGATAATTCATGATCGTGTTGTTTCGTCGTTTGTTGTTGTTGTTGGCCAAAAAAAAGAAAATAAGCTTTGATTTCGGTCGGCCTTGGCTTTGGCGGTTCGATGGTGGCTCTCAGCTCTCTGGCTGTTGGGTCAGTGGTGCGAGGCGATGACAAGCTAGTTCTAGTTCTACTTGGGATGCTTTCTTGTATGTTTCAATGATGAGTATCGTGGCGCTGCGAATGCGAAAGCGTTAAGCGGCCTAATTGAGGCTTGTCATGGTATTTTGGTTTTTTCTAGTTCCTATTTTTTTTTTTATATATTTTTTCTTTCTGTTAAGCTGCCCCTGAAATGGAAATGCAGATGAGTGTTAATGTGTAAGTGATGGTGCGAGAGTATGCTTGTATATGTGTGTATGTAGATGTGTGTGTGTGTGTGTGTGTGCATGCCTAACAAAAGACTTAGGCAGCGAACTTGTTTCGCGGCCAGCTAACGGCATGCTGATAGAGATTCAGATTCAGATTCGACTCGACGATTTTCACTTTTTCTTGAAACAATATTTGTTTGCGCGTTCGTTGCCTCAGTCTTTGGTTCTTGGCAGTTTGTTGGCCAAGTTGTTTGCGTTCGGTGCTTGAAAACGATTCACTTTAGCCTAAGCGATGTTTGCTTGATAAGTTATCGCACAAGTCTTTCGATGCTAGAGGTTTGATGCCAAAGTCTTTTGTTCTTACAAGGTAAAGTCCTCTTGCTGTAGCACACCAGGAATAGATGGCGCACTTCTTTCAGTTATTGAACAACATTTGAGTGCAGGTTTGTTGCTAGAGTCTTTATAACTTCAGCAAGTTCGTTGTCTAAGTCTTTTTCTCGAGCTAATCCTAGGTGCGCCACTCTTTGCATTTCATCCCAATCTAATCTGCTTTCAAGTTTGTTGCCTAAGTCTCTTAACAAGTTCGTGTCATAAATATTGGCCGAACTTTGCTCTGGCCAAAACAATATTTGCTTGCAAGTTCATGACCCAAGTCTTTATAATTCTAACAAGTTCGTTGCCTAAGTCTTTTGTTTAGCTGCACGCAAATTTGAGCGCAAATAATTGACTACTTATGTCATGACTTATAGCTAAGCGCTAAATGCTCAGACAGCCAGACGAGCGCACAAAAAACCAACACACGCACACACACGCACACACACCCAGATAGAGACAGGTAGTCAATTAATCGTGTTAGCGAACGCCAACGTCAGTTAACGGCTTAGTCAGTCATTTGGTAATCTGCCTTTAATAGTCAACGAAAAGCGCGTCGTCATCAGAATTAGAGCCTCATTCAATGCCGTCAACAGGTGTGCCATCAACCCAAGCATAATCGTAATCATAATCATAATCGTCTTCAAGTTGCGTGGGTGACAAGCGTCGGCCCAATGCCAATGGGCCGGATATGCGCGCGCCTTAAGTGCTTGGGTCAGCGCCCCGAGGTGGCCCATTAAGAATTCTGCACCATCAGCCGCTTTCTTCTGTCCAACATAACTGCGAACGCTGCTCAGTTGGCCAGCAGCAGTCGCGCTGTCTTCTTCTTGCTCTTCTAATTTCTTCAATTCTCGTTGGCTATGCAAACATTGCGAGCAAATTCTTTTCGGCTTGTCCGGTTTTCTTTTTTCGGGCAATCCGTTTGAATAAAACGGGTTTGTTTATTATTAGCCATTAGCCAGCCAGTCAGCCAGCTTTGCGTATTACCTCCGAAATGTGTTAAGTGAAATAGGCGAGCGCACGGGTCCAACTGAACGGAAGCTGCGCTACGCTAATCTAGCCGCACCTCAATTGCTCTAAGCGTTCAATTACTCCAAGCTTCGGAGAGTTGTGCAACAAATCGCTCTCTTTGACTTTTGAGTGATAAGCTAAAGTGTTGTTTATATAAAGCTCGGATGTATCAGCCGATGAATGTGTTGAATATATTCGCTGCATTCATTTATGTGGATATTTGGGATTAGATAAGACAGATATTGGTCTTTTTATGCTTCTCATAAATATTTATATTCAGAGAAACGAAATATCGTGCTGATGTTGGAATGAGATTCAGGGGCGGGTGGTTTTAGTTTGGAGTAGAGCGTTTTGTGCTGAAAGTCTGGTAGATAATGCCAATATTTTTCATACACAAAGAAAACGCTATATTTTAGCTCTAGCTAAAGAGTTGGTTCTACCAAATAATATACATATGTATGTATGTATGTTAGGATAGGTAGATATTTTGTATTATGTAGCATTCTTGTATTATAGTTATTGAAAGAGACATACTTGTGCTTAGGCTTGATACTTGATTAGGTCTAATCTTAGTTATATTATGGATTTGGTTAAGATATATATGGAATAAATGTATGAGTATATTTTTCAAAGCAATTGCCATTTTCAAATTTTCGCCAAGGATTTATAAGCGTCAGCAGGAGCTGCTTATGCATCGGCACGAGCAGTTTCCTAATATATTTGCTTGCTATGCTTTAGAGACAAGGCAGACCTGCTTAACTTCTTGTCTATTTAGCACTTATCTAATAGTTGACTTGCATGAATCAACAAACTCTTGATTTGGCGTGTGCCAGCCTCATTTAAGAACTAGAAGTGTCTTTTAAGTGGAGCCGCAATATACATATATTACTTATATAGTATTATAAACACAGCTGTGTATACCTAATATATTATATAGTATTATAATCACAGCTGTGTATACCTATAGTATTCATCTAATAATGAGCATTACAGGTCTGCATGGTTACATTCATTTCCAATAAGTATAAACATATTCAGTTTTAGTATAATGCATGCCTATACATACATATATATAGAGTCTTTCTTTAGAACAGTTCAATGAGTCAAACACTGCTAAAACCTTTGACAATTCTCGGAGGGGAATCTTGGCGAAAAAACAATAAAAATCATTGTTAGGTCTAAATAGTTGTTATTTTCAATTTAAAGGCGAGTGCAAATGCCTGCGCAGTGATGTAACGAAAAGCTATTCAGATATAATATAGATATATTATATAGATATATACGAGGGCTGCTTAGAAAGTAGCATTGAGTTGGGAGCTAAGCAAAATGATTTTGAAGAGGCCAGAGCTGTATTATTTTGAAAGAGATCAAATAGACAATAGTTGTGGAAAAGAGCTGAAAATTTCCAATACTTTTCCTTCTGTGCATGCATATACTTTATATAAATAAAAAGTTTTGTAAGTAGCTTTAATTGATTGTATTGATTGTTCATGCATAAGTCGTAAATATTGACAGATTAGAAAGCATATTTGCTGCTGCCGTTGTTGTTGTTGCTTTTGTTGTTGCTGTTGTCAGCTGCAATAGTTGAAAATGAACATTCGCCCATCGAACATTGCATGCGGAATGTAACGACCTCTTGAGCCATAATCTATATTGAAAGACAGCGCGCCCTTGACTGTCACGCCCCAAACGCCCACCTTTATAGCCCCGTCTCTCTCTCTCCCTCTCTCTCTGTAACACTGCACAGCGTGGTTTTTTTGGTATTACAAAATTTATGTAGATTCCGCATAATTTGCTGTGAAAAAGGCGCATGTCGAAACAACAATTTGCATTGTGTTATATGTGAGGCATATGCCGTCTCTTTCTGCTCTAGCTATTGCTGGACTCTTTCGCATGGAATTAAATATATCCAAGTTGTTCATGATGTTATTTATGATTGTTATAAGCTCAGGCGCGAGTGTAAATCGTTGCAGTTGTGCGGCTGTTGCGTGCTGTGACTGCAGAGGTGAGTTCAATAGCATCCACAGCAACAACAGCAACAGCAACAACAACAACAACTATAAACAATAATAAACCATAAATAATCACAATATGAAATGGCATGAGTGTGGTGCATATGCTTGAATGGACAACAATGCAATGCGGCGTGTTTAAACTATTATGCAAATCCTGAATTATGTTGAAAGGAAAGCAACAAAAGCAGCGGATAGGAATTCCAGTTAGTGCGTAAATGCGTTTCAAAATGTAATCAAAAAATATATGCGTATTTCTATATACATCAATATATACATTTGTATAGGCATACATGTTGTTGTTGTTGTTTGTGTGTTCGATTTGATTTCGTTTTGATGGGCTTACCTTTCACTTGATTGCAGTTGAATCCGTCGTTAGTTGCAACAGCCACAAAAAGCGTATGATATATTATGATGGTACGAATGCGAGTCTCGCTCTCTGCTGTGTGTGGGTAAAGAAAACGCAGAAGAAAGACGAATTGTAGAAATTATCGCTCAAGCAAGAAATGATTTCACATGCGACACGGCCCGGCCCGGGCCTAAGATACACGCCCAGAAACTACGCAAAAAAAAAAAACGCATCAACAAGTGGATTGAGGGTGCGACTAGCAGATGCCCTGGACCATTCTGTGTATGTTTTCAGTTTTGCAATGGATGCTGAGCATTTTATGTTCTAGATGTGGGCAGACCTTAAGAGCACCTGTCTAACCCAAGTGGATATGGTCTACCTCTTAAAGTTTTCAAGTTATGCTTATCAGAGATTTCAGTTAACTTAGAGGAGTCTGCTCTAGTTATTGAAGAAAAGAGATCAAGATATAGTATAGTATTAGATTGGTATGGGTAAAAATTCTTTAAGAGCACCCGCATATTTAATTTCATGTCTTGTTCTCGAGATATACTTAAAGATCATTTAATGAAACAGATTTTATACGTGAATATTTATAATATCCATAAGTATTTATATTGATTTCTTCATACAGAGCTGACTTCTAATGTTTCTTTCTCTTTTATTTATGCATTCTGAAACAATATACCCTGTTTACTTATTTGCAATGGATATCATAACAACAACAACAACGACGACAATGTTAAGCGACTTATATACACAACAAAAATTGCTGAACGTTGAGTCATGCTGAGGGAGAAGTCGCCGTCGTCGTCGTCGTCGTCGTCGTCGTCGGCGTCGTCATCGCTGTTGCTGTCGCATGCAAATGGAGAAACAACAACAGCAACAAGTGCAGCAAAAAGGTGACTTCAATATGTAAGTGTGTGTGACATATGTGTGCCAGGAAAAAGACAGCAAACAGCGAGCAGCGGAAAAGTGCTTAAGTAAGAAAAGCCCGCGCACTTGTTCTGACACTTTTACAAGCAGCGCAGCCCAATTAAGACTGAAATCGTATGTAAAATAAACGTGTTTGTTCATTAAATTCTCTTCTTTGTAATTCGCTTTTTAATTTGTTTCCATTAAGCGCGACACTCGAAGCAAAAGCGAAATGCACTTGAGCAAAAGCGAAACAAAAAAAATCACAATTTAATTGCGTTTTAATTGGACAACGAACGGACAAGAAGACTCCAAATAGACGTGAGAACGGAGCGCGCCACATGCGTGGTCATGCAAATAGTTACACTCACACACACACGCAGACACTTACACACTCACTGGCAGATAACCGTAACGTGCTGCGTCTAACGGTAACGGTTTGAGCACAACGCGCGCGCGCGCGCTCTTCGAAACAGTTAAAAGTGAAAATCGAAATGACTTAGGCAACGAACGCGTTGTCTTCCTCTTCCTCTGCGACCAGTTCTCATATAATAAGCAATCGACGCGTCAGCTGAGCTCAGCGGCTGCCCCACAACTGAATTGCGAGTTGACTCTTTGCCCGTTTGGTTGCGGCTCTGCTAGCGTCGCGTCGCTGACGGCGCCGTCCACGTCGACGTCAGCGTCAGCGTCAGCTGTTCGCTTATTGAAATCATCTTCGATACCCATTGACAGTGTGTACCAAGTGGGGTATATTGAATCGATTTGTATATCGCAGATATTATATTACATACTACCTTAAGTCTCGGCCCTTATTATATGCATACGAGTGTATTTACATACTTAAGCTTAAGGCATCTCAGCTAATCCATATACCCTGTCTTGCATACAATGAGCGAGAATTTGAGCTCAGCTCTCAGCAAGTTTGTGTTTAGCTAGGGTATGCTCTGTTCGATCACGCTCCAGCTATTGTATATTGTCTCTTCCCTCTGTTCGCACGCATTTTGTCGCTGCCAGCGTCGCTGTCGACGTCGCGCGCCTTCGTTCAAACAATTAAGAAAAAACTTAATTTCCAGCTGGCGCTGCATTTGCATAATTTGATTGAGACAAACCAAAACAATACTCGTTAAGATTTTCTTTCTTTCTGTTGCGTGTTTCTTGTTTTTTGTCTTTTGGGCTAGCTAACGGGACGGCAGACAAATGGGCCGAGGCTGTCCATAGGAGAGTTTTTGGTCCAAGGGCCCTGAAGTTGTTCTAATTAAGAAATAAAAGAAGCGCTTTTTTTTTTCTTTTTATAACTGCATTTTTTTTTTGTGTATGTATGTGTGTGTGTGTGTTTTGTTTGCCTTGGACATTTTGAATTGTGATTCGTATAAATTCATGCTTGGGGTTTGGTTTGGAAAACATAATTGATAGAACATTGATCAATTAGTAGTTAGTTTAACAAAAGCTTCAAGATAAATGCGCTAACTAGCTGTCCTTTCTTCACAAAATAAAACAGTTAATGTTATGTGTGTATGTGTGTTTGTTTGCATGAGGCAAAGTGTAAGCTCAGCCTGCCTTCTCGGCGCCCTCGTCTGGCTCTAATTTGCCCTCATCGAACATGGGCCCCAGCTGACCTATGCGCTTGATTTGCTCCATTAGATCGGCTATTTCGGCGGTGCGGTTGCGGAACTTGCGCAAAAACAAATATCCACGCAGCATCTCATTGTCCAGGACGCAGCTGCAAGGCGGAAACGGCAAAGGATTAAAACTGAACCGAGCTAGGGATCTAGAGACTCACATAAGTGCCGCGGCGGCATAGTTGCCCGTCTTCTCCAGCTGATCGAGCCACTTGTTTATAATAGTCTTAATGATGGGATCTGTGGCGGCCAAATGGATGCGCGCATTAATCAATGCCTCCTTGAAATACTCGTGCCTCAGCAGCATTTGAATGGCCTCCGTTTGCATGTCCATAGCGAGCATATACGTCGCTGCATGCAGTATGTAGCCCTGCTCCTCCATTTGCTGGGCGTAGGCCTTGCAGCAAATTTGCCAAAACCTGAAGTGGAAATGGAAATGGAAATGAAAATGGATATGAGAGCAATGAGAAATGACAATAGTGTCCGGAAGCTTACACATAGGAGACAGCGGGCGCTAGAGATAGATGCCACTCGTTCAACGTCTTGTTGGCAATGTGCTGCTCCAGTTCCTCGCGCAATTTGAATGTCGTAACTGCCAGATTAAGTGGAGCAATATCCTTATTGTTCGACTGCTTCAAATTGTTAACTGAAATTGGGACGAGGATTGGAATGAGCTATACGAATATTAACAACAATGGATTATACTAACGCTCTGTAGCAATCAGCTCCTTGGCCATGACTTTGGTGCTAAACAGCTTCGACATGAGCACCGACTTGTCTATCTTGGCAGCATCCTCGGTGAGCACTACGGCCAGTTTCTCCAGAGCGCTCTTGTTGAGCTCCTTTTGGGCGAGGCACAGGCAGGTGCGGCTATGCTGTACGGGATAGGTCGCGGCATGAGTAAGGAATTGGAGCTTCGTTGATCCAGCTACTTACAGAGAGGAATGTGGTCGGCGCTGTTTGTGCCTCCTCCAGTTGCTTGCATTTCTTGCACTCGAAGGCGTTTGTATTGGTGCCTTTGGTTTGCAGACTCAGAGCGGCCATCATGGACTCAATCGGAGGCTGCGCCGGTTGCTGCTGCTGCTCTTGTTGCTTTTGCTCAACTGATTGCTGAGCGTCCACCTCCGGCTCGACGGCCTGTGGTGCACTGGCAGCAGCTGCAGCAGCTTGATTGACCTTGCGCTTCTCGCGACCTTGACGCTTCCTTTGTCCAGCGGTCAATGTGTGATTGGACTGTGCATTGGATTTGAAAGCCCACTGCAGCTTGCCTATGGGTGAAAGCTTGGAGCGTATCTGCTTATCGTTGCTGGCCAAAGCCTCTTTGATGCTAACCAGCTCGAGTGAGAGTGTCTTGCCACCGCACATAATGATGAGCTCATCGGAGGGCAGGAACATGCCACACCACATAGGGCACTCATATCGGATGATTAGCGGTGGCTGCTTCGGCTCCTTGGTGCTCCACATGCACACCTTGCCCTCAATATGGAAGCTGAGCAGCAAATGTGCATGCTGATTGCTCCACTTGACCGATGCAATGGATGCCATCGAATCGCAGTCCGTGAACTTGTGCAGCTTGGTCCAGGTGCGCGTGGCCAAGTGCAGCTCCAGCACATAGATCATATAATCGTTGCCCGCCACTGCAAACACATTGGTCGCCACCGGACTGAAGGCTATATCAGTGACATAACGGGAAAAAAGCGCTGTCCAAGGAGGTTGTGGGTCAACCGAAGTTCTACTATGTAGCCGAAGCAGACCATTATCTGTGCCAACCAAGAGCAAGGGTCCACACACATTCAGAAAACTGGGACGCTCGATGTGTTTCATCAGCGTGGCCTCTGAAAGAGAGCGTAGAAGACGGAGATTAAAAGTGTATTCAGCATGGGCTTTGTGAAGGAAGAGAAACATTAGAAGAGAGGCGGAGACAGCCTATGGATAATATTCTGCAAGATTTCTGCAAGAGAAGCTGAGGGCAAGAGGTGCAGAAGGGAAGCAGGGGAAGTTATAGAATTAGAGAGAAAAGAGAATTGTGTGATAGTGAGTGAGAGAGAGAGAGAGACGGTTCATGGCCTCTCTAAGAACTAGAGAAGGGTCGAGGTATCGAAGTAGATTTGATAATCGCTCAAAGCTGTTGCCAGGGACAACTTGTTTGCTTGTTAAAATAACAAAAACAATCAAAACAATCAACAATCAACAAGGCCGAGAAGTCAAATTACAATTCACATTACGTTCAAGTGTGCACACAAAAAGCTCATAAATTAATAGTTGCATTAGATTAACTAATAGACGAAGGCAACATGTCGCATACTCATCAAAAAGTCCTCGACGACATTCGGCGAAGCATCGAGTCGCAGCTAGAGGAGCGCGACATCGAGGTGGATGGGGAATTCATAGCCTTTGTGGTGCATCTGCTCATTCGAGACGTGCGGCTCGGTCTGGTGAAGACAGACTTAAGTAAGCCAAGCACATGCCACGTCAGGACTTTTGTCGAGAACGTTGTCAGCTGGTACCTGGATGACAGCGACACGACCATGGCCAACCTGCGTCTGTCCTGGATCATGAAGACGGGCCACGGCATCAGCTTGGCGTACGTGCGCGAGCAATACGAGAAGGACTATCAGCAACAGCTGAAGCGAATCATTGACGATATCCTGCAGTATCCAGAGACTTGCAGCAAAGTGCAGCTGGATCAATTGTTTTCCAAAATGCAAGTTTTCATTGTGGCTACCAACCATCTGGGCTGTCCCAAGAACCATGTGCTCCTCAAGCTGACAGCCCAGGCGCTGCACAGCGTCATCGGCCGCAGCGACCTACAGAACTATGTCCTCAAGAAGAAGTATCACAGGCAGGAGTACCTGAAACGGCTGGCCGACACTGTCGCTGGCATTCTCATCTTCAACAACGACGGACCCGACGGCGATCGCGAGAACGTTCGAAATAGTGGGTGCAGATACACTTCAGTCACTGCGATTCTATCATACATTTGATCTATTCCCCCATCTCTCTAGTAATTGAAGATCTGCAGATGGCCCAGGCGAACACAAATGCCGCCTTTGATGCCGCGCTGGAACGCCTCAGGGAGCTCAGCTCCAGATGCCAGACGGCGATTAGCGAGCAGTTGCAGTTCGACTGCAAGGAGACGACCCTTTACTATGGCGTGCCCTTCGCCCAACTGGACCGCATCAATCAGTTCACCATCACGTTCAACATGCTGATGCGCTGCTTGGTGGCGCTGCAGAGCAGCTATGAGCACACGACGTATCTGCTGAGCGTGGAGACGGGTCGCTACGACTGTGTGGTGGCCAAGATCAACGCTTCGCTGGCCATGCGCACCTCCATTGACTCCGAGTTGATATTTGTAAGTATCGGCTGGAGTTTCTCAGGTAGATCCTTGAAATATCTATTGTTGCCTTGCAGCCGCACTTTGTCTACCTAGCCAAGGTCTGGGCGAATCTGAATCACTACTTCAACCACATCGTCGAGTTGAACAAGCTGCGTGAGCGTGTCGAGGCCCAGATCACCAGTGGGATGGTGCAGCGCTCGAAGGATACGATTGCGGAAATCCAAGAGCTGAGCAAAAGTCACAGCGAAATGCGTAAATGCAGCTTCAATCAGCGCATGGACACGTTGAAGAAAACTCAAACTGATGGCAACTTCTGCAGCCTCGCCCAGGCGGACATTAAGGAGTTTTGCGCCCTCGCGATGGCCGTGACGAACGGACTGCTCCTGCCAGCCAAGGTGGTGCGCAAGCTCTGTATGAATGTGGACATTCAGTTTGGCTTTCAGGACGAGACCTATGCCCGCATAGGGGAGCTATGGTTCGAGCGCTTCATAACCGCTTTGCGACAATCGATCTTTAACAATGCCAACTTGGTGCTGCTCTTCCAATTGGACCATATACTGATCGCCAAAGAGCTCCAGCCAGTGCCCGCGGAGCCGCCAAAGACGAAGGATTTCACAGGGCAAACCGAAATGGTAGTTACGAACGACTTGAAACCGGCCAATTGGATTAATGTGACATGGAATGCCTGGGACTACCATCGAGAGACAATACATCTGGCCGAAATACGCAAACGACAGACGTGCGATACCCAGTCGACGATCACTTATGGCAAGCGCAATGCACAGAACCAAACGTACAATGTGCGCCATCACTTGCGTTGAGCATTCACCTGCATTTGGTTGTCGCACGTTGTACATGGCCACCATGCGATTCACTATAAAGTAAATATAGTCTTCCTTCCACACCAATGAGTAGATCTCCTTCTTCTGCACCGGGCGAAACGTAGTCTTCAGTCGCATCCGCTCCACATCGAGAATGCCCACCTGCATGAAATGTATGTTAAATTTAGTTCGATCAATATGTGTATGTGTATGTGTATCAATAAAAAGTTCGTTCAGTTTCACGTACAATGCCATCGGAGGTGCCATAGGCCAGCTGCAGGCAGTCCGGGCTCCAGGACAGGGAGTAGACGGGGCTGTGCACCTGCACACTCTCAATGGGCATGCAGCGGTCGGTCAACTTGGATATGTCGAACATTGCAATGCGTTTGTCCGAGCAGCCCAAAAAAATTCTAGAAGTTCAGCGGAGATATGAGTCGAGATTACTTCCATACAATAATAATCCTAAACGAACTTACTTGTTCATATCATTGGGGCATTCGGACATTGCGCGCACGCCGTAGGCCAAGCATCCATAGACGGCGCTCACCTGTCCATTGAGAGGATTCAATAGGAGTATTCGTCGGTTGCGCGTATTTAACCAGATCTGCGGATATGCGGCGCTGGCCACGCATGTCATAATGTCCTGCTCGGCGCACTTGTGCAGTTGATCTCTCGTGATCTTGAAGCGACGTGATTTGGCCTCACAGCTTACGGCCCAGAAATGCAAACGGTTGCGACTCATGGAGACGATTGTGTGGTCGTTGAGCCAGTAAAGCTGCTTGGTTTTGGCTGCAGGGAGATCATGTAATCTATATATGAAATGAAACCATTCAGCTTCTCACTTACCTATGGTATTTGATTTGCTATAGGTCTTGGCGCAATGTTCACCCGTTTGCGTATTCCATATGGTAATAATATCGTTGTCATTAATGGAAGCCAGGAAAATGTCTGGGCGAGCAGGCAAAATCTCTGTGGAGCCGTAGCTCAACGTGTCTACGCTAGTTTGCTTGCCCAGGGGTTGAGCGTTGGTTTGCAGCAGCTGCTGCTGCTGCTGTTGCTGCGGAGATTCGGTTGGGGCATCGTGCACCTCGGCTTGGTGGTAAATGTGATGGAGCACCTCACGCTTGGGCTTGGAGGCCTCGCCGTCGACAATGACAGCATCATCGCTGGACGAGCTAAACTGGATAACCTCTAGGCTGCCTTCGCTGGCGCTCTGCAACTCCTGCTGATCCTTTTCGGAATTGTGGCTGCTATCGCTGCGTGGGCCAGTTGTGCCTGCTTGCTGGCAGTCCTGTAGCGTAACCTCCACCTGAGGCTGATCTTTGGGACCCTGGCGATGAGCTGCCAGTTCCACTTTCAATGACTCGCAGGCCTCCATGAAATCGAGACCCGCATTATTGGCTGGCTTCTCAAGGCCGACAAAATCCCCACAATCATCTGAGGATTTGCTGGTCAAACGCGGACGCACGCTGGCCGGAGCACCAAACTCCGATTCCAAATGATCGTAGTTGTATATGTCAAATATATCATCTGCCTCGGCTGCTTTTGACTTCACAATACGCAATTGATCGTGGCTTGCTTGCGGCTCTTCCTGGTTCTGTTCTCGCTGTTGTTCGGGTTGCTGTGACATTTCCCGCCAGGCCAGGTAACAAATGCTGGCGTTCCGGCCATGTCCATTCAATTTATGCACAACGTTCATTTCATTTAAATTACAGATTAAAATTGATCCAGCTGTGGTGCCCACAGCAAATATATGCTCATCGTATGGCGAACAGCTGAGCACGCTTAAATTATGATTCCGTTGGGATATAAAGGTGGGGCGTCGGAAATAGGTGTTGGAGGCGACGCAGTAGACGACCAAATTGCCTGCATCCATCGATAATATATTGCCATTGCATATATAGCTCATTAGCACATTCAATCGCGGATAAAGTCGCGCATCGTGTGCCTCGTTCTGACGTTGATGCGCCGTATGCCCTTTAATCACCACGCCCATATCACAATCCCAGACGAGAACGCTCCAATCCTCACCAACAATAGCAAATTGCTTGCCATGAGCATTTGATACCATTTCTGATTTATGCTGCTTGCCCCACAAGGGGCTGACATCAAGTCCACCGATGGTGATGCGCGTGGACATGGTTTTCACTTCTCGATCCTTCGCATCCACAGCCGGTATATAATTGATGCATTTAAAGCCGCTGTAGAGCAGCCCGCCATCTGGCGTCGCGACGGCAAGCGGCGCTTGTACGCAGATTGGCGCTGGCACATTATTAACAATCACTGCCCGTTTCATACTGATTTCATTAATTTAAAGTTGAGAAAAGAAAATGGAGAATTTTGACAGCGAGCTGCACATCAGCAACTGATGTTCAGTTCTTCCTCCTTCCGTTTTGTCCTCCCAAACTTTCCAGCACTTGTTATCAAATGTAATTTTAAAAGGATAGTGCTATGTTTGGTATTTTTAGTTTATTCAGTATTTCATGGTTTGGTGCAACTGGGCACACTGTTTTTAATTACATCTTTTATTGCGAATGGTAATACGCAAAATCATATACAAATAGTGAAAATATTAAAAATTATTTACTACAGGGAATAAAAAACATTAATTATGGATTCAAAACGTGAGAGAAAGTCGTCTTTGGTAAGTGCATAAATCATTTAGTCTTGGTAGACTTGGTTTTTTGCTCTGACAAACTTCCATTGTTTACGACAGGCTCCACTTTCGCCATGTCCGATTCCAGACATAACGGATGATGAGTTGGTGACGATTTCGGTGCGTGATCTGAACCGAACATTGAAGATGCGTGGACTCAACCGGGAAGAGATTGTGCGCATGAAACAACGACGTCGCACGCTGAAGAATCGTGGCTATGCGGCCAGCTGTCGTATAAAGCGCATAGAGCAAAAGGACGAATTGGAAACAAAAAAATCGTATGAGTGGACGGAATTGGAGCAGATGCATGAAGACAATGAACAGATACGCCTAGATGTTAACAACTGGAAGAACAAATACAAAGCGCTCCTACAATTTGCTATTCAAAACGAAATACCCATCCCAAGCGAACTGGAGGGCTGTTGAGTGCTGGCAATGGAATTATATTAACATTAATCGCATTCCTATTTCAGTTTTAAAATAAGAATCAGAAACAAAACACCTGTAACCATAGTACAATAGCTGGAAATTGATTTGTAACGCACTTAAACTGAATTTAATTTTTAATAAACATTTGTATACGAACGATTTGTTCAGACACTCTGTTTGAAATATCAAGGCGAATGTCAACGTATGTACGTGAATGTCAAAAATTTGAAGGGAACAGCTGTATACGTATGTATATTGTTATGTATTCATTTTAAAGACGCAACCTGGACTCATTTTATATGTATGTACATACATATATATATGTGCTAGCGGTGCAACTTTTTTTCACCAAACATATAAAAACGCAAAACCTAAAAAAGGCTACACAGAACTAGACATCAAACCATGCCGTCATGGCATTTCGTCGCTTTGGTAAATCCCTGCTTTATGGCTTGCCGCTAGGCATCACGTTCCTCGATTGTGTCGGATATGTGGCTAGAGTTGACGGTAAATTCAATAGTGAATATTTCAAAGACAATGAATGGTTCATTAAGTTTTTCTTTAATTTGCAGGCACTTCTATGCAACCCGCACTTAATCCAGTGGCAGAGGAACGCGACTACGTATTTCTTTTGCGCTGGGGCATACACAACAGTGCTGTGGAACGTGGCGATATAATCTCACTAATCTCCCCCAAGGACCCCGGTCAAAAGATTATAAAACGCGTGGTGGGAATGCAAGGCGACGTCGTCTCCACTCTTGGCTACAAGCACGAGATTGTGCGCGTACCTGATGGTCATTGTTGGGTCGAGGGTGATCATACGGGCTACTCTCTGGATAGCAACACCTTCGGTCCAGTTGCTTTGGGTCTGATGTCCGCCCGAGCGGTGGCCATCGTCTGGCCACCGGAACGTTGGAGGTTATTGAAGAATGAACTGCCGCGACGAAGGCGACCCGTGCAGGTGGCTAAGGCCAATTACTACAACTAGGCGCAAGACTGAAAGAGACAAAGCTGTTGGTAGCCGCTAAGTAGCCACATACACATACTGTTTGTACATATATATATTTTAATATCGGTTTTGTGTTCAATTGGTATCGTTCCTTTACGCAAAAATACTATTTCAAAATTTTTAATGCTGTAGGACTATAAATCTTAATAAACTAGATACCATTACATTTAATATGACATAATGCGCGGTCGCTGCAAATTCTAATTAGAAATGAAAATGGTTGGAAATTTTGCATTACATAGCTTAGCGGATTTTGAGCTCTTGTTAACAGTTGGTATTTTTTAGTTCTGATCCCTGATTATTGTTTATGTAATTAGATTTTGGTTAACATAGCCGAATTCGTGCAGCACTGAAAGTGTCTGTTTGAGAGCCACTCCAGCGCGTACGATTTGATAACAGCCTGGTTCGGCCAAGTCAATGACTGTAGAGGCCAGCCGTCGCTCCTCTGTCTGTCCAATGCGACCGGCATCAAAGATGGCACCCAGCTGCGGCCAAAGCGCTTGGAATTCGATGATTTCCAGACTACTGGGTGCACTGGAACGATTTGCGCTCGTCAACGCCAAGGGCTGCTCGTGCCACCTAGCACACAAGTCCCGGATGAACTGGAAGTCGGGTATGCGTATGCCGATTTTGCTGGTGCTCGGGTTTAAATAGCGATTGCTCAGATGAGGCGTACGCTCAACGATAATGGTCAGTGGCCCCGGAAGCAGCCGAGTTAGCAGCTCGTCACTCAAGTGGCTCGCCTGACCATAGCGACGCAACGCAGTAATATTGTTCACACAAATGGCCACCGGTTTGTGTTCGTCTCTTCCTTTGATCTCGTATAGACGCTGTATGGCCTGCTCGTTGTTGGCATCACATGCTAAGCCATAAACTGTATCTGTGGGCAACGCAATCACCTTGCCCAACTGCAGGCATTGTTCCGCCAGCTTTAAGGCATTCAGCGACTCCGCTGAACAAATTGGAGTCGCCTCTACTTGTTGCTTATGCATGCTGCTGCTGCTGCTGCGAGTCCCTTGGAGTCGCCTTATTAGTAACTTTTTTAAGTAGCGCATCAGTCCTAATCTCTCCAATTGTGGCCGCACTGATGATTACAGCACTTGTAGAATGTAGTCATAGGCTCATCCGCTGACCTAGTTTGTATTTGCATGAAGTAGGCGCGTTTGTGTGAACAGGCCGGGCATTCAGCATCCGTGGAATCAACGTTCTCCCAAGCCGCAACTCCACCCAAAACGTGATCAACTTCCTAAAAGAAAAGAATTGTAAACAAAGTTGCAATATTGTGTTTTTTTGCGAACCTACCTTCAGACGTGGGTACGTTTTGGTGGTTATCTTCCGCTTGATTTTCGATATGAATGGGCACGTGTTGCACGTGAACCTGTGGCTGGAGGTATCTTCTTCAATAATTAATATATTGCCACAAGACGGGCAGAAGAACAACATTGCGAAATGCGAGCACGTTTGATCAACTGCTAAGTTAACAGACTTTGCCTGCTCGACTTAAATTGTTATCGATTATTTAACACTAACAGAAATCTGTCATCGTAGGGTAATTTCATATATAGTTGGTTTCATTATAAATTCAATGCAAAAAAGTATTGTGAGCTGTCAGATGGTTTGAAAGACGAATTGAGTTTGTGTTCAGTATTTAAGAGTGTTCGATGGTATAATTAATCGGATTGACAACTGCTAACTTAACAGAGCTCGATAGAATTTGCTATCGATATGCTTTTCTGCAGACGGTTATCAACACTGACCAGCAGCGAACACAAAATAAGCGAATTTTATAAATATTGAATTAAATTGTTAGATTAAGGCAAAAATGTCTGCTGATGTACGTGATATTTTAGACATAGAGCGTGCCAATACGCCCGAAATAACCAGAGACTCATTCCTTGCCACGAAGAAACGTAATTTTGAGCGGTATGTAGGCACACGCAATGCTGTTTGGACCGCTTCTCTAACTTTTTTTTTTCCGCAGCACAAAACATGCTTCCCGGCGTCCGGAAGGAATGCACCGCGAAGTCTTCGCGCTGCTGTACACAGACAAAAAAGATGCGCCACCTTTGCTGCCGACAGACACTGCACTGGGCATCGGTGCGGGCTATAAACAAAACAAAGCACGGTTGGGCATGAAAAAGGTGCGCAAATGGGAATGGGCACCTTTCTCGAATCCCGCTCGTAACGATGCTGCAGTCTTTCATCATTGGAAACGTGTCAGCGATGACTCCACAGACTATCCGTTTGCCAAATTCAATAAGCAATTGGAGATACCCACATACACAATGACCGAATATAACGCACACCTGCGAAATAATATCCAAAACTGGAGCAAGGTGCAAACGGATCATTTGTTTGACCTAGCTAGACGGTGAGTAGACAAAATACCTCAATAGGCATATACTCATGCTCATCGCTTTTCAGCTTCGATTTGCGCTTCATTGTTATGGCGGATCGCTGGAATCGCCAGCAGCATGGTATTAAAACCGTGGAGGAGCTAAAGGAGCGGTACTATGAAGTAATTTCACTGTTGGCCAAGGCCAAGAATCAGTCTGTTGAGAAGAAAACATTCGTATACGATGTCGAGCACGAGCGTCGTCGAAAGGAACAACTAGAGAAGCTCTTCAAGCGCACCACACAACAGGTAGAAGAGGAGCAAATGCTGATCAATGAGATGAAAAAAATCGAGGCGCGCAAAAAGGAACGCGAGCGCAAAACTCAAGACCTGCAGAAACTGATCTCCCAAGCAGATCAACAAAACGAGCATACGGCCAACACGCCAAGCACTCGCAAATACGAAAAGAAACTGCACAAGAAGAAGGTGCACCATCAGCCACGACCCTCCAAAGTGGATTCGGTGGTGAACGCCATCGAAATTGGCAGCAGCGGCATCAAATTCGCCGATCTACGCGGCTCTGGTGTATCGCTGCGTTCGCAAAAGATGAAACTGCCCGCCAATATAGGACAGCGTAAGGTGAAAGCGCTCGAGCAGGCCATACAGGAGTTCAAAGTTGGTAAGCTACAAATCTATTGCCGATGCAAACTAAATGGCGCTTGGATTAACTGAATAACTGCAACCTATAGATCCCGCACCACCACCAACTGAGGAAATATGCACTTCCTTCAATGAGCTGCGTTCGGATATGGTTTTGCTCTGCGAACTGCGCACTGCGCTCTCCACCTGCATCTATGAAATGGAGAGCTTGAAGCACCAATACGAGGCTGCCTGTCCGGGCAAGACGCTCAATATACCGCCCTCATTGGTGCCCATAAAGAGCGAAACCTTGGAGCCCAATGCAAACTAGGCGAACAGGCAGCCAACTCCGCGGAAGATAAAGCGCACGTCTCACTAATCAGCGCACGGACAATAACAACAGTTGCACTCAACCCGTTTGCCACTCGCTATATTTGTGCATGTGCGCTACTCCCAGTCTAGTTGGTAGAATAAATTGGAAAAATAACAAAAAGCAGAAAGAAAACTGTGTGTTTGCAGCAATCACAGATCACAACAGATCACACACGTATATACATATTTATATATATATATATATATGTGAAAATCAAGTAGCCAACGGTCGGTCAAATGGAGTGTGAGAACTTTTTTCTTGCTGCCGCTAGCTGTGATTTATTTACCTCTTTCCATCTCGCCAGACGCTCACGGCCTTAGTTTTCTTCTCTTGCACGTATTTGGGTTACGCTCGCCTGCCCAAATATGGCTGGCATGCAATGGCATTTGGCAAACGCAATGTGGATATGAGCAAATGAATGACTGCTGACTGACTGACTGTTGCCTGATGCTATTGCTGCTGCTGGCTGCCGTTGGCTGTTGCTGCTGCTACTTGATGCGGTGGGTGTTGTTGCCGCCTGTTGATGTTGCTCCATATAGCCTGCTGGCTGATGTTGCCGTTGCCGCTGCTGTGTGTTGCTTGGCCGTTGTTTGATGTTGTCTGTGGACTGTTGTTGCTGCTTGATGCTCTCAGACGTTTGATGCAGCTGTTGCTGTTGCTGTTGCTGCTTGAGCTGCCTGCGTATTGCTCTTGCTGAATGTGATGTTGTCTGAAGTTATTTGATGTTGCTGTTGGTTGGTGGTTGCTGCTGCTGCTGCCTGATGTTGCTGTTGTTGCGTGATACCGCTTGATGTTGCTTCATGCCTGTTGTTGTTGCTAGCTGCCTGTGCTGTTGTTGTTGCTGCTCACTGCTCACTGCTCGCTGCCTGCTGTCTGGGTGCCTGGGTGCTGCCCACACGCAGTGAGTCGCACCGACCGGTCGGTCATTCAGAGAATCAGCTTGAGTCAGCAGCCGTAGCCGAAGCAGCGACCGACTTCTATATTTGTGAATGAAACAGACAGACGAGCCAATGCCGATTCGGTAAATGGGTAATCGGGTTTTGCTCAGCTGCAGCAGAGCTCAGTCGAGTTTCAGTCGTCGGCGCGTTTAGTTCAGCTAGCAGCTGCGGCGTTTACTTTGTATATGTATTGTGTGTATGTGTGTGTTAATGTAAATAAACGCGTGTGTGCAGTGCAAAGTTCGTTGCTTCAGTCATTCGTTTCGTTAAGCGCCAATGCAACAACGTGAAGTAAATGCAAATGCAAACGCGATAGCCAAATGTAAATTGAAGAATTTTTGAATGGCCGTCGGCTGTTGTTGTTGAGTATCCTGCAGGCAGTCGAGTCGGGCAGGCAGTCGGGCAAACAAAACGTCTTTGCATCCGCTTCCGGCTCTTTGTGCGCCTCGTCTTTTATGAATGAAATGCTGGCGCGTCATGTCCCTGTCCCTGTCAACTAAGCGACCCATTGTTCATGCTACCTACTAGAAAGGGAGAAGGAGTGAGAGAGTGAGCGAGAGAGTTAACTAAAAAGAAAAACCCTAACCAAGTGCAGCGTAAAGATCTTTATCGCATTTTGCCTTCTGGAGCAGCAAGCGAAGACAGCCAGGTAGACAACTGCAGAGAAAAGTAAAATACATTCGGTCAACTCAAAGTCGAACAACTCTCAATGTACATACAGTATATATAGAGAGAAATACATATATCCAAGTCAGCATAGACGTCGCCTGTTTGACTGATAAATCGCTTAGCTTATCTGCTGTTTAAGTTTCGCACGCTGATAAATCGAAGTGAGAGCGAGAGAGACAGAGAGAGCGAGAGAGAGTGGGAGATCAACTCATTCAAAATGCTGCCCAAACTAAGGTGAGTCTTAGACATTTATTTATTTACCTTTTAAATACATTCATTTATTTAAAGCCCGACACAGATGTGCCGCATTTGTTGACTATATTAAATGAAATTTATTATATATGTTAGCTACGCCCACCTGATCTGCATGTCAAATGAGCCAATTAGAAATCGCATCTCTGATCTAGATTGCCCATATATATGTATATGCACCATATACTCTATATCTGTATATAAATGACTTTTGCTTCTTCTGTCGAAAGATCCGCTTATTAAAAAATGTTCTTAATTGCAAATTCGTGCTCTAATGATGCTTTTATTTCATTTCGATTAGGCCGCCGGCGCGGAAATTTATAGCTAATTATAGAGCTAATAGATTTAGAGTCAACAGAGGGGCTCAATAATCGGCATATTAGCCGTAGACGATATATACTTGGATTAGCTCAGCTCATATCTTGACTTTATAAAGCTACAAAGATGCGGATCTATATCAATATTATCTGATTCTATTCGACCTTTCACTTATTATTATCTATAACGCGCATTGTACTGAGAATATTGCTTGATAGGAGTATTTTCAAATACAATATATGCGCTATAGTGCATCTCTAGCCACCAATTTGGCTGGAATTCAATATATAGTTAGGGCAAACCAATTTATATGTGCTATAAATCTTGGTCTGCCTCAAAGCATAGTTAGTTATATACAAAAACATATCTAAACTTCCTACTACCTCACAGTTAATTCTTAGGTATTTCTCCTATATATATGCTCTAGCATCAGATTTACTCCTATGTATGTATATATGCATATCTCATGGTTCCCCGCATCACATAAATATTTAATTTATAGCGACACATTTATGTTTGGACGTTTGAACTCTTCATCTAATCTGTCTGTATGTGTATAAATAGTATTTAATTCGCCTATGAATTTATGTTTATAAATTTTGGATGCGAGCTTGCTAGCGACGCGGACGACTGCTGTGGAAGCTCATTAAACGCTGCTAACTTTGTTGAACAGCCGCACATCCGTTGCGGGGGCAATTATTGCGACTCCCTGTTGTCATTTGCCCAAAAGAGAGAAAGAAAAGGGGAAAACAACGAAAGAAAGAAAAAAACAAATTCAAAATGCGTTAAGAGTTTTTCAAAAATTATCAACACACACACACGCCTAGAGACGCACTTATATATGTGTGTATATATATATATATTTATTGAAGAAAATGAAAAGCTAGCTAGCAAGAGTTAAATGTAATGTGATTGCTGTTGTTGTTGTTGTTGACA